TGCAGTAATAAACACTGAGTTACACCAATTTTAAAAGTACATTATATTTAAATGACTATCAAAACTTATTTCGATTAGGCATTACTTCCTGGGTTAATTTGTCAGATATTATACTCGATATATTTTTGTCTAGCTGCCTAGAATTTCTATTCAATAGCACTTCGCAAATCGGTAACCAGATCATCTACTTTCCAGGCTGGGTTTTCACTTTCATTTACTGTGAAAGAATTTGTTTGGTACTTGGCACTTGGTATCCAATTTCCAATGCAAAGCCACTCGACGCGCTTTTCCAGTTCATTGGCCCCACCGTGCAAGGCTGATATACAAATATATCTGTGTGAATGGATATATATCAGCTGGGATAGGATCGCATCGCAGTGGTTTTATTAATGAGCACAGACGCACGCTTAGCACGAAAAACGCCACCGGAGCGATGTGAAAACTTGTGGATTTCGATTTCGATGCGGAATCGAAGACTAAGACAAAGCCATATAAGCCATATATCCAAAGACTAAGTCAAAAAGTAAAAAAACAAAAAAAGAAAAAGATTAGGCCAGGCTTGAGAGCGATGGGGGCGTCATTGGCGTTGGCAGCACATCGCATATCAAAATGCCACCTCTGCGGTATCATGGCAATCATTATAATGTGAGTGGGATCGTGCCTATATTATAATGGGCATAAATATAAGCTCTCCCGAATATGGGGGCGCTTGGCAAGTGTCGCACGAGCAGAACGTGCCGCCTTGGTTTTCGATTCGAAGATGGAACGTCTTGTTGGCCTCTTTCGATTTTTTTTCGATTTCATAAGGTTTTGATTAATGCCCCTACCATACCATATACCAAGCAGTACACCTATTTAGCTATTCTCGACCCGCAATCGGTTGAACAATCATTATCGTAAATGTTGCTCACCAGTTGGTAAATGCCATTAATCAAACAGCTTTACATTTTATTTTGGTTCCATTACGTTACAGACCCCAAATTCGCGGGGAATTCCATGATATAGCCAAAACCGAAACAATTTAGTTTTACTAATGAATGAACGGATCGGTAGAGAAAGGTGAGTGACAGCATAACGAATGTCTGTGAACTACTGCTTGCCATTGAACTTGACTTGTGAGTGGGATTCAAACTTCCTTATATGAAGTATATCATATGAAATATGGACAACTTTAATGTGTGAATTAGCAAAGGTGTCATCTAGTGGGTTAATTAATGTTTGCTTTAGCTTGATGATATATATAATATTTTTAGATATATAGACATTTTTAGATATAATAGAAATACTTACATTATGGATAATATATCAATCTTGTGTTAAATTGGATTTACAATCGTCTTAATATTGATATGTTTTTTTTAATAAAACTTGGCTTAAAGCCTAATCTTATTGACAAAGTTTTTATTTATAATGGTAATCAATAATCGCTTTTCCATGAGCTAATATGAGCTTAATTAATTCTAGAACACGACTTATAATAAAACCGCTTCCATTAAGTAACGTAAGCAAATCTTGAATAACAATCACTGAATTAATGCAATAATCTTATCAAAGCTCCTAAAAGCTTTTCAATCATAAAGATACTAATTGCCACTGCAATTATTCACTGAAAGGTCACAGTCATCATGGGAAATTACAAAAAAATATGTTAATTGAAAACTTTTCAGGCATATGCAGAAATTGTTCACCTGCGCGCTGGCACGAATGTCAAAATAATCACAGCGGCTCTTTCCAATTACATCCGAATTATTTATGCGGCCAATACAGAATACCGATTTCCAGCGGCATTTATCACGGCTGACAGTTGGGACGGCGCTCAGCTTCAACACGCCAAAACTGCTAAAGCCGCCAAAACGCCGCCAGCAGCGGTCAGCGCATAAATCCGCCGACAAACTCAATCAAAAAGGCGAACTGGCCTGCCTAGCTCATTTTTTATGTGTGTGCCACAGGTACAGGCAAAACTCCCTACAGAAAACAAGCATATCCCACAGAGTTCAAAATTAAACAAATATATACCAAAAAATGGTGATTTTATTAGTATTAAACATATAAATAGTATTTTAAAGAATTAATATCTTGTATAAGTTTGTATTTTATTGTTTAACCCAACTTGAAACCAATACATAAAATTTTTTATTTATTTAAATTTGATTGTTATTTTTGGTAGGAAATCATTTTTAAGATTATCTTCAAAATATTTTGACATTAGTTCATTACACTGAGAGTATTATTCACGTACATTGTTCTTGAATTGAGAACATTCGTTCTTAAAAACCGCATAAGTACATTTTGGTATCAATGCTCTCAATATTAGAAAGAAATGGTGAGAAGAGAAAAGTTAAATGGAGTTTTTTTTATCAACTTTTTCAGAAATATACACTAATTACTGGTCTGATAGTTTATTTGTTGAGTTATACAATGTAATTACCGCCAATGCAACTTGATTCGAGCAAAATAAAAATATTTTCAACTTCAAAAATGTCGCTCTATTTTTAAGAACATTTGTAACTTAGAGGAAAACGACAGAATTTTCTCAGTGTAGAAATAATAAATGTCCAACCGTTTTCACTACGAACATTTTTTTATTCAAAAAGTTTTCTAATACTAGAATGGCTTTTGAAATTTGGAGGCTGAAATTTCTTACAGCTTCTAGAAAAATCGTATTTAAGTTAGATCAATTTCCTTTCTCCATTTTATTGATGTTGCACTGTGTAAATGTTTCGTTAACCAATTTTGTCGTGAATGCAAATTTCTGTGTACACTTTTAATTAACGTTAAAGGTTGTTTACAGCCGTTATTGGTGTTGGAGTTTTTCCAGCACTCATTTGACTTTGGGCCCCGTTGGCGGTTCCTATTTTTCGTTGGCGCTCGGCTGTTTACTGATTAGCGCAAAAAAAGGAAAAAGATCAAGTAAAATAATAGGCAGCAAATCAAGAAATCTAATATTGAATCACGAAATCGGGCGGCAAACGAACCAGCAGCCGAACCCGTACTCCATACATAATTTGCTTAATGTTTACTTATGCTAATCGGGGACATTAATCAGACTTGTTAACAACATTGAGCACGAGTCTCAAGGGGTCGACTGCGTCTCCGCCGTAAATGCCAAACAAATCAGCAGTCGCACCGAAATTACTTCATTTTTCGTAACTTAAATTGATGGATTATTAAATGAGAGAGGGAGAAAAATGTTCAAGAGATTACAAAGCTCCCCAAACAAAACAATCAATGCTGGAATGCCCGATGAGAAATTCAAGATGATCTATAAAAATATAGAAAAATTAAAGTGTTTGGAAAATATATTTCTTAAACTTTAAGATATATTAAATGTTTTAAATTATAACGATCTTAGATTGCCAAAATAAACGGAACTGTGTAGAAAGTAGAATTATTTAAAGAGATATAAGGAACTGGTTGATAGAAGTAGTCAGTGGTTTTGATTATAAAAAGTTATAAGCTTATTCTTAAAATATTGCATAATATTTTCAGGAAGGACTGCATGACCAAAAGCCTTGACTCCTGATCTCCCCAAAAACGGCAGACTCATGGAGAAGCATGTTAATTAATTAAATTTCAATGTGATAAAATCGTGTTGGCCCTTAACTAACATAGTTTTAATTATACCACTAACCACTTTGGTAACAAGTTCGAGGAGTAAATTTCCACATGGGCACGCTTTTAACGCACGTGCCAACGCAACAACAACAAACAACCTCATCTGCAGAATAATAACAACAACAATAGCAATAGCAGCAACGAAGCGTAGTGCAAAGCAAAATGCAACCAAACAATAAACCAACTCCAACACAAAAGAAAGTCGAACAAAGCACAAACAACAAAGGCTCCAAAAGGGGCTTCCAAGATGAGAGGAAAATATATACGTAGGTATATAGGGGGTTGTACCAGAGCCGACGCACTTTTCGCTTTTAAGACGACTTAAGCGGAACCAGTTTCGGTAATATAAAAAAGAAATAGAGTTTTTAAACTGATGAAATGCCCATGATTTTTCCAATTTACGCCTATCGCGTTACATGCGTAGCCCCCATGAATGGGGAGGGTAAGCCCCTTTCCCTTCCTCATTCTCTATAAATTGGCCAGGTCTTTAATATGCAAAAATATTATAAAATAAAAAACTAATATATAAAATATTAAAAAAATGTTATAATATAACATTTATAATATAGGTTTCACCTTTAAGACTTACCGAAGCACAAGTATTACCAGTCGTACAGAGTTTTTGGGAATTTTTTTTTATTTTCGAAAACTTTTGATTTAATAATATTTAAAAACATTTATTTAAAAATTTTAAGAAAGTTTTTGTAAAAATTAAATATAAGTCTGCAGAGCGGAGAATATATTTTGTAAAATTAAACATTTTTATAAAGCGTTTTCATTTAATTTTTAAAATATTGATGTTGTTTAATTTGTAAGGCCCAATCCAAAGGGCATGGTTCGTTAAGCATGAACAACAAGATCATCTGTGGAGGCGTTGAAAGAAGAAAGGGGAGATGAGATGAGATCAGGTAAGAGGGGTTGGGTGTTACGAGTGGGGCTGCGAAGAGTTCGTGGAACAGGGAAAGGTGTCGAAAGCGTAGACAAATATTACACATTTAATTATGACAAGGTGATTCGGCTACGCCTCTGCACCTCCAGGGCCCCCCTTCTTCTCCGACACTGCTTCGGTTCATAGGGAAATTCAGCTATGAAAATTCAGTCGAAATATTATTCGGTTGCTTGGCTTGCTGACTTTTGGCTGACACTAATGCCTTTAATGATCCATGTTGTCGCTCAAGTTGAAAGCTGCCATTTGACTCCCCATTGTCTTTGGGCTCTGTCGTCAGCACTATCAACTCCATCAGTGACTGGCTAAACTCCTCGAGTTTCCCTGGGAAACATTACGTGATTTAATTGGAAACATGAGATCAGAGGAGTGGAAAATGGTGGTTATTGAATAATTTGTGAGGTTAAGCCTATGTCTTAATATTTATATAGTCTAAACATCGATACATTCAATAATATAATAATATCTTGAACTAGTTTTCAAGTCAGTTTCAAAAAAATCTCTTTACTTAACTTTGCATTTAATATCGTGTTTAATTTTGTAGAACCTCTTAATTTAGGCAGCTAGGGTAAGTTGGTAGTCCCAATCCTGCTTACGTTGTCGCAGACCGTCTCGTAATCCTGGTTCAGATCTTGCTGTAATCTCAGTAGCTTCCGATGGGCTTTGACGAAGAGTGCCATGGAGATGGATAGATTGGCAGCCAGGCTGTCCTTCACCTGTTGCACGGTGCTCTGCTGGTAGACATTGCCCCCCGAAATCATGCAAGGAAGTCCATTATCGCGACCTTCCAGTAATTTAAGGATGTCCTGAACCTTTTTGATGCGCTCCTTGAGTACCTCCTTCTCAACGGTCAATTCTCGTTCACGCCGCCTCTGCTGCACCAGGTAATCTATAACCTCATCGGGAATGTTTGAGATGGCCTCTTCCACTAACATTTTTTGTACAAGCTGTGAATTTTGCTTTAAACCGATTGAATTTTGTATTTTAATTTGGTAGTGACTTTGACTTTAAGTGACTTGACATACACTACAAGTCCCTTTTTAAATCCGATTAAGATAAAAAATATTTCAAATATACTTACGTTACTTATCATAAATTAGTTAAATATTTAAGTAAGATTTTTGAAAGGTCCATTGTCAAATCTATTTGCTTGGACACCTTCGAATGTAACTTAATAGATTCATATTTGTCCCACATCTTTTTATTTTTCTTCACACCTTTGAGTTAACAACTATTATGATTTCATCTGGGCGAAACAAAGAAGGCCCATGAGATCTTCTGTCGAGTCTACAATGGCAATGCTAATCACATTAATAAATTATCCGCACCTCCGGTTGGAGCCTCGCTTCTATTGATTTTGATCGTGTGTTCGGGTAAATGAAATATTCTATTGGGGGAATTGTTTTTGCCTTATTCACGGCTGGACATTTGCAGTGGCTAAACATTAATTTTTCTCGCTCCCCTCCCTTGATTTATTCAAATTATTTTTAATGGCCTTTTGTTGTTGACTCTGTCACTATGCTAAATGGCAGTACAAATTCCTCGAGTTTATTGGAATTTAGCGTACTCTATGACTATTGTGAATTAGTTGGAATTGGCTGACATCAGAGGGGGAAAGACTTATATAAATGGGTTTTTAATGCACTTGTGAACTGGCATTGGTTGCAAAATCAGTTGAGCAAAATTCCCTAAATTGTTATGTTGAGAATTTGAATAAATACAATTAAGGAAATAAATTGTTTTATGAAGTGTATCAAGTGGTAGTTGATTTTTCTTATAAATTGCAATATATTTCTGCAAGGTAAATTAGTTTAATATACTTGTTTAATTAATTTAAGTTACGTAACATACAGAAATGTATTTGACAAATTGGCAACTAAATTCTAGGGAACACCTTAAAACATTTTTTTATATTTCAGGTAAATAGTTTGGGGTAATAAAGGTAATGGTAATATTTTACCTTTAAAATAGCATAGCATGTAGATATAAGCTATAAGTCGGCGTGTCTCAAGTGTTCCTTGAACTTTCTCGGTTCATTTCAATGGAATTACGCTTGAACTTGCTTTATGAAACAAGTTCTCCTGCTCTCTGATTTCACATAACCGAACACACAAAAGACCACACGCGTTTTGGGTGCCATTTATGATCATTTAATCCTTTTGGGCAACCCAACAATAGCCCATACCACACCGAAAACAACTACATCAAGCGGAAACCCAAGAAAAAAGGGTGTGCATTCGTGTGGCAGGGGACATTCAGGTTGATTTATATGATCGCAGGGCGATTCATATTTCTATGGCTTTCACTGTCGCACATAAATATAATTTCTGGAGTGCGACACCCACAGCAGTGAAAATTAAACCGAAATGAAGACATTCAAATGTGAGGCAAGGTGTGCCAAACACAAATTTATGTTAATTTTCACTGGCCGTTTCCTGATAAACTTCTTTGGCTTCTGGATTAGTCAAATCCGCCACACCTCCTAAAAACTCTTTTAATTTTTTGCTTGACCTAGCAATAAGTTGCCATTGTAAAATCTCTGATTTGTGCAGGGCTTTTACCACTCGAAAGTTTTTTATTTTATTTACCTTTACACATTTGTATGGCTCTTCAGAAAATTTCTCTAATTTCGTTTTACTTGTAAGTAGAAAAACAAAAAACCGAAACCACAACGTGTGTGGCCTTTGCTTTTCTTTTAAAAAGGGCAAAACCCTTACAATCATGCAGAACTAACCTTCACTTTTTCGGGTTGTATTTTGGTTACAACTAAACCATAAATGGGAACTACAAGAGACCCATGTAAAAGTCGAGCTACTGTTTAACCGGTTGGTCTGGCAAATACTAAGATCTGGAACAAATCTATTAAACAGGCTGCCAAATGAAATGTCCCCAGAAAGTTGGAGCGAGTACACTAAAATAAAACACTCTCCATAGAATGTGACTTAAACTGGATTTAACTCACTTTCTAATGAATATTAAGTACACAACTTCCTTGATTAATGAACTTGGTAAACTCGTCTAAAGGAAATTTGCAATTATCGATAAGCTTGAAACGGAAATAGCAAACATATTCAAAGCAATTAATCAATTAGATTAGTTATTATGGGTAATTATACAAGTCGAGGGGTTGCAATTTTATTTAAATTTATCTACTACTGAATGTAAGACATTCAATGTTCACTTTTAATGTTACCTTAAGTTCTAAAGTCAATATCCGGCTATTTGAAAAAAATCAAAACACCCACTTTACAAGACTACAAAAGAAATAAATAATGGAAATTCTATTAATTGCCCCCCTTTATTTGGGCATCCATTACTCGAGAGCCAAAGACAATATTTTTACATGCTCTTTTGTTTCATAGACGATTGCCTCATTCAGCACTTGAGATCGTTTAATTCGCACTTAAAAAGAGATACAAATTTCCAGCTAATTTCCATTGTAACGCTGTCAGTTGAGGCGAAAAGCTGAAGTGAGACCATTAAGACGACGCGACATTTGCAGTTTTATACACTTAAACATAAGTACAATAAACACATATTGCCTAGGCCTTAATTTGACAACTGAGAGGCATGAAATGATACCAGTACCAGACAGCTCGACCAGGCCACTCATTAATCTGTCTAAATAAAGAACGTTCCGAGCGAAATCAAGAAACATATTTGTGCTCACTTTGGAGCCGAAGCAAAAGTTGTAAATTGATTTGCCACCAAATATGGCAGACAGCTCGCTCTAAATTTCTTGTTATTTATAAATTCGCCAAAGCAACAGAAACATACAAGAAACACATAAAAATCATTCATGGATCATTTTGAGTAATAAATCTAGGCGAAATATTTCCATTTTGGGGTTTTTGGGGGGAGTGTGTCCAAAGTGTTCGAAATGTTTTTCCTTTTGGCTCGCAGCATGATCGGAATATATAATTTCCTAACTGAGATCATTAAGAGCCACAGCAGGTGGACTACGTCGAATTGAATGTTTTCATAAATTACAAATGCTAAAGCGAAACATTTGCATATATCCCCCCCCCCAGTCTCCTGCTACCAGTCCAGTAGAAATTGTGTTAAAACTTATTAATTTTCTTTGGCCGACGCGGAATTGGTCAAAAGCGTTATACACGAAGATTATAATAAATTTGTTTTATTGCAATAAATCGAGATGAAAATGAAATCATGGCTTAAGCTCTTTAATATGGAAATTGTTGGGCTTTTGAGTGCAAAAGGGGTACTCCGCTAAATTTATTGTTATATATAGACATTACCTTATTTAAAAATAAAATAAAAATATTTAATTTTTGATTCCATTTTAAAATATAATAATGTTTAATATTACTATGCTCTTAAATATTTTCTATGATTGCAGATGTGTTTGGTGAAAAAAATCTCTGAATACCTTTAATAATTTTTATTCTGCGTTATTTATTCGCTTAATTTCCAAGTTAAACGACCAAAAAAATCTCAAATTAATGAGTGAGCTTTTAAGATGGTTATTTCGATCACCTGGCAGTTTCTGATTACCATATCTGGCATATTTATTTATTTTCGACACATTATTTGTATCGATTTGGAATATTTACACAATTTTCAAATGAAAAATGTAATTCCAATTTAAATCAAACAGTTTCCAAATATGCCGCTGTATGTTGAACCCGGTTGGAATATTTCTTGACCTTTGCTTATCGCCTCGTGCGATGTCATAAATTTTGTGAAATATAGCTTGACTTGAGCTTGAACCTTATATTTATAATAGTTTTCGACTATTGATAACCAGCAGCCGGTTTAATTTTCAATTCCAATTTGAGAGGGTCGCGCAATTGATTTCTTTTTATTGTGTTAGAATTTATGTTTCGGCCTGTAATATTTTATGGCATTTTCTTGAAGGCTAATAAAAGAGATTTCTACTTTGTTTTATTGTTATTTGTGTGTCGTGGAAAGTTGTTTAGCATACTCGTATTCGGTTTTTCATCTTTCACTGCCTAGCCCCCTGACAGTTTTTAATCACCCCGAAATTAACTGTGCAACACCAACGCATTTTAATTGTTTGTCGACGAGCCACAATTTATGGCTTGCCTTGTGTCCCCAATCAAAATCGAAATCGAAATGCACTCGCACTTTGATTCGATCCCCCTTTCATTGGCTTCAATTCTATTTTAAGGTCTTTTCAATTTGCATGCCCAATCGATGATCATCAGCGGTCTTGATTGGTCCGGACAGACATTCGCATTTGGACTATATTTCAGCGCTCTCCGATTCGATTTTTTATGAATTTATTGGCCGGGAGTTGAATTTTAGTGCTGGAAAGTCTGGACTTCCTGTGGAGCATTTAACGCTGTAAAACTTTATTTATTTTTCGCTTTCCAAACTGGCAACAAAGATTTTCATTTAGTTATAATTGGATCTTGAAGTAGATCAGATTACTGGAACAATTAAATAAATTGAATTCACTTTGGGGAACAATGACGTTTTCTTCTTCGTGATCCTAACTGTCATTCGATGTTCTCGCAACAATTGAACAATTCATAAATATTTTCAGGCCCCAATTGATTCAAAGCAAAAAAAAACAAAAGTTCGGAGGCAAACAATATTAAATCCCCTTTCAACACAGAAAGAAAACTGTAGTTCTTTAATATCAAATTAGAATTTATCATTGGAATCGTTTTATTTAATACTTGTATTAAGATCGAAAGACCATAAAAAAATGGTTATACAGATTACTAATATTTATATATATATTTTTTATATAGTATTAAATTTCGTGGAGAATACTTATATATTTTTTCCGTGCACTCTCCGAGCTGCTTACCCCCCCTTATCTCCTGTCAAAGCCATAATAATTCACTTTTGGTTCAAACAAATGACAAATGCAAATATTGACAAACGGCCCAACTGAACCAACTGTCTGTCAATCTCCCCCGTTCGAAAAACCTCCCTATCTTTGCCCAAAACGCAGCTAAATGAAACCCTTTGTGGGTTAATAACAATATTGACAGGTGAAAACCATAGACTGTCCCGGAAAAGGAAGTCTGGCTATTCAGGGA